AAATCCATAAAGTAGTTAGATGAAACCGTGGTGCAGGTGCCAAGTATTTCCTTTGGCGCCGGGGGTCGTGTGTTTGATACACATACGAGACAAATATTTGTGTGACCCACAGATAATTGTTTCTGATCTGGGTGTTTGTACGTAAAATGTACGTATGTAAAACGTCCTTGCAACACAGGATAATATTATCCTTCAATACGGGGGCAATAATTTTGAAGAAAAGACTACAATAGCTCTTTCTAGGTTTCAGTGGTCGTTAGAACATACTACCCAAACCCTTCCACACAAAATACACACAAAAGGACAATAATGAAACGGGCACAATTCAAACTTACCTACCTAAAACGAAATATCGTCATTACTGTTATTGATAACACTGTATGTAATTCGGTTGAATCTTTAAAAAAAAAAACCTTAAAACTTTCTCACACTTGTGCTTAAAGAATAGAAGAATTACGAGTCTTCGGCCATTAGCAAATGAATTTTCGAATGTTTCAGATGATGCATGCATGAGCACGTTTCCACGATAACTGTTGAATATCGTTTGAAATTGCGAAAGCGTTTCGTCTGTGACAAAACGTTGGGGAGGTATGGGTGTGAGTCTAAGCTATTATATAGAGACTACGCGACAAAATTCAATTTTGTCGAATTCCCTAGGTTATTTCTTGTTTGTCACTAACATCGACATTTCATTAGTACCCCTACACATAGCACTACACATTAAGCTTTGAATGTTACCTATTAATTTAATAGAATTGTATAAAATATTGAGTGTGAAATGAGACTGTGGGTAATTTCTTTAAATTTCTGTCTAAATATTCTTGCGGGATCTAATATCTTCAAAGCACCTGGTGCCTTAGGCCGTCTCAATAACTTTATTCTATATTCAATATTTTCGTATTTCATAGCGAATTCATAAAATATTGCATTACTTATGAGGTATGCCTCTTTGACGTCTTTAATTTAACTATGTAACTACACTTGTTAATATTAAAACAACTTAGACCATCAATAGATCTCGTGGTCTACTAATGCCATACTAAAATAAAAAAATCTAATTGCACCAGCATTTGACATTTTTTTATTTTTTAGTCGGTGCTAACAAACATGCGGTTCACCCGTAACTGCTATCACCAATCGACAGTCGACATACGTCTGGTTGCATTTGAGCTGTAAACATTTTGACATGAGCCCGTGACAGGTAAGGCAGGCTGTAGCCCTTCGTTGAATGATATCTATCGAAAAATTTTAGCTTTATCAATCAGCTATTCTGATTTAACTAAGAGAAAAGAGAACAGAAAAATAAATCCACATCTAGTTGCTTTTTATTAACAATATACCATTTGAAGAAAATTATGTTCGTAATGTGGGTGTCATTATTGAAGTTCAATAGGCTTTTTGTCAAAATATATTGAAATTTTACGAGGGGCAAGTTGTCGGGACCCTTATCAAGACAACTGTAATCGTTTATATAATCCCATGTTATCGCACCAATTATACATAATTCTAAAATAATACTTAAGTATAGTACGGAAGTTCCATTTGGAATCCTTATACATACGTATACTACAAAGTTTTCTCACTAAAATTACTTTCATAGACGGAACGTATACAAGGCTACGAAAAAAAAAGTATGTGTGTACTTATGTACGCACGAAAGAAGTTATACTTCTTTAGCATTGAGAAATTAAATGCAATTGATAACGGTTTATTTAAACAACTTGGAATTATTGGTAAAGGTCAAAAGTTGTTATTGGTTACCAAGCATCGTGTACCTTTTTCAGGTGTGGGCGCGAATCGTAAAATTTTACTCTCTTAAACCGTACGACCAAACTTACTTTAATTTCAAAACTACCTAGTGAAAGAAAATATGCAGATGTTACGTATATTTTCAAAATAATTAACCTATTCGTTGAGTATGAATGACTATTATAGAAAAAGCAAATTGTTCTTAGGCTTCAAAGTAGTAATGATTGTAATAGAAACATTTTCCATTTACCGTTCTTAACATTTGGCTGGTGCTCAAATTGAAATAAAAATTCTCTTATTACGCGCTATAAAAACGAAATGTATATTCTCAATAACAATTATTGTGTTACTTCTTCTAGTTTCTAGTAGAAGTTTTTAGCTTTAAGTGCTGACTTATCACGTGCTCCGCGGTGAAGGAAAACATCGTGAGGAAACCTGCATATTTTCGGAATAATAACAAAAAAAAAATAATTTTCAAAAATATGTGAAGTCCACCAATCCGCAGTGGGGCCGCGTGGTGGACTATGCCCTGATACCCTCTGTATAGAGGAGGCCTTTGCCCAGCAGTGGGACATGTATAGGCTGTTACTGTACTTTTTACTTTTTACTTCTTCTAGTGCATCTCCAACTAGTGCAGACTGGCGGTCATCTCCGCATATTTCAGCCGGTCGTTGGTGAGGTTAAAGAGATCCTCGACACTTGTGATTCCGCTCCATTCCCGGATATTGCACAGCCACGACTTATTACTACGGTCCTCCTCGAACTTCGACATACTCACGCCCTTCTATCCCAGCTAGGCGGGACCGGCACATGTGAATCATGTTGTAAGTGGTTTTGGCCAGGTTTTTTACAACCTGCCGCCTGCCTGACGTCAACCTTCCTAGGCAACAAACACCCAATCCCGGAACAATTGTCTGTCACATAAATACTTGTCCCATGTGGGAATCGAACCCACTGCCCCCAGTGCCGAAACCATTAACTTAGAAACTGCGCCACCAACCGCTTTATATTATCCAATTATTGTTAATTTTTTATGTGTTTATGATGAATTATGAATATTATAAATAAGTGCTTTACTTTCAGAGCTTTCTGTATTCATTATTTTAAGACAAACAAAAACGGTAATAATTCCAATCATTGTGTTGTCTGATTTGTGAAGCAATAAAAATAAGCGTTAGAGTCCGAAAAGATTAATCACACACGGTGAGACGTTTTAAAGTGGTAGCAAGTGAGCCGATTATCAAACTTATTCCTAAAAATTACGCATTAATAACTTAATATCTTCAATGAGGTTCTCAATGTAACAAAGACCGTATTTAGATGCATAACATACATGCAACCTGAGTGTGTCTAGATTTGTCAGCCAAATTTAACGAGCACGAGTTACATTTGCATTTCTTATTGAAGAAGCTCGCACACAAAGCGCTTTGAAGTATGACAGTCTGAATACACTCTTTTTTGCAGCATTCCTAGCAACGCGCTGTCCTAAAATATTTTTTTTTTAATTTATTAAGACCTAGTCCACAGTTCGACAATTCGAAGTAGGTCATAACTAAATATGATTTGAGTTCTTCAGGTAGGATTGAAATTAGTGCAATTTAAATTAAACCAATTTCATGTGTAAACCATTTATTTGGAGGCAGAATACGTATCCTTTAACACTTGTAACACACTGCGTACCTATACTTGAAGTAGAACTTTGACGTAATATTATAATCGCGTTACAAATTCAATTTAACCAAGATGACATTTTTAAATGAAAAAAAAAATGGAGTATGATTAATAAGCCTTGCAATGCAATATTATCTTTAGTAAGCACAAATCATTTTTCAAACAATCATGTTACATTTTTCATGGCATTAACGACAATTATATATATATTAGGATAACAAGGTTTTCACGTAACGCTTTAAAAGCATGGTCAAATGTCATACATAATGTTAACGCACAAAAATATATTACAATAATACCTGCAACATGTTTTAAACTATACAAAATGCAATTGAAAGAATATCTACAGCAAATTCAGTCTTCCTGTATACATTGGATATCTAGGCGATAGTTGACTAATGTTTAATTTAGTCCCTTATTAATAAATAGAAGCATTTTTTACTTCAATTATAACAAAACAATTTAATGATTCTAAATGAAAAATGGGATAAGGTGATATTGACGTACGGTTGCATAGAAAACTAACCACTTTAAACGAATTCGCTTTAGTGTTAAATTATCATAAACATACTAATATTGTCATAGTTTCTATATAGACTTAATTGTATGTATTGTATATAATCTTTATGTCATCTTAACTTTAACTAAGAAAATAGCTTGAGAATAAAGTAACCTAAGTTAACTATTAAAACAACGTGAAATCCTACATTAACACTTAAAGTTAACCTACCAAAGAAATTGTGATTTAATAAACCATTATATAATATATTTTAAAAACAGAAAACCGTAAGCTATATAAACTATTATAACAACAAATGTAATACAAAGACATAATTGCCCGGGATTAAAATCACATAGACCTTTTGAATTGACCTTCTTAATTCATATATCTTTCAGGAAATTTATTTTCAACGTTAAGGACATATGATGTTATTACACAGGATAAGTCTTTTCCATTAATATGCTTGGTGTGAAATATCCACTAAACGTAATTAGTATCTGACATCTCAATTTGAATACAACGAAGAATACTTCATCGTATCCCGCTTATTTTATATACGAAGCAAAAAATGGACGCAAAAGATCAAGTCCAATCAAGTCCATGACATTTAACTGTTTTTCAGATATATTTGGAACTAAATGTACAAAGTTCAATCTTTACTTTTTTAATGATTTTCTAACATTAACGATTAGGCCATTAACATAATTATATTGAACACGAAATTTAATTATTACAGGTAATAGACAAATATTTTCACTAACATAAATAGCATATTATTTACATTTAGCGTGGAATGTTTAAGTCATGTATATAAAAATTAAATGTTATTCATATTACTGAATCAGAGATAAATAGTTTTAAAACTGTGTTAGGTTACAACGACTAGATAAGAATTTTTTAATTTTTCAACAACTGTTCAAGGTTAATTTACAGGCGCTTTGTTATAGGATTAATTACAAGACTCACCGGCTAAACTAGAATCATAAAGCTATAACTTTCTAATTGTAGTTAGTGTTACGGTAAACGAAAAATTTTGTTGAAAAAGTAAAAGTTGAACACCGCGGGTTAGAAGATTTTAGTTATACATGATGGCTAATAGACTTGCGAGGAGTAGGGTTAAAGACGCGATCAACTTTATGGCTTTGTCAGTGGTTTTAATATCAGAAGAGATGATGTCCACCCACTCCGAGTGACCAGCTGCGTTGCGTGTGCGAACACGAGCGTGGAAGGTCGTGCCATTTGGCAGCTGGCCAACGGTGAACAACGTATCTGTGGAAAAAAACAGTCAATATGGTGTGAACAAAGTGTGCAGTTAGAACAAAGTGTATTGTAGAAAATTATCAGCAGAATAATATACCGTTTGCTGATTGGATATCTATGTCATATAATGTCGCGTTGTCCCATTCTGCAGGATATCCGGCCCGTACGGGCACTAGCTCAAATGAGTAACCTGAAAAACATATAAATATAAGTCAAAACGGTCAAGTGCGAGTCGTACTCGTACACGAAATGTTACGTACCATTATCTATAAAAAAGGCAAAAAAACATTATGTCTATTGAATGGCTACGCTACTTAAATATTTTTCATATAGTGTAATAGCGGCAACAGATATACACCATATATGAAAATTTAAACGGTAAATATCATGGTTCATGAGATACAGCCTGGTGATAGACGGACAGACAGGCAGACCGACAGACAGACAGACAGACAGACAGCGGTGTCTTAGTAATAGGGTAAAACAGGACCCTTTGGGTACGGAACCCTAAAAAATAAGCATTTTGTATTTTTTTTTAATGTAAGAAGACGGCAAGCGATCTGGCGGTTCACCTGATGTGAAGTGATAACCGCTGCCCATGGGAAATTGCAGCGCCCATTGTACGGTTACATAGCGACCTGGTTACCTCACTCACCAGACGAAATGTAGAATTATAACATTTTCACTTCAAATCGGTCTTCTGTGAAATCGTGGTCAAATCAACTGATATACAAGTAAGTTTAAATTAAACGGAAATGGATAATGAAATGGTATACCAATAACAACTAGGTTAGCTGGATCTGGAGCCTTATCTTCCTCAAAGTCCATGTTACAGCTGTAGCAAGTAACGTTGAACGTTATTGTGCTTACATTAGAAGTGAAAACGCTAATCTGGAAATCGAAAAATTAGAATGATTTTGTGTCCAAAACGTTTGTATATGCTGTTCAAAATGACACCCACTTCATCGGGAGGATTTGGTTTATTGCCTTCCGTGACGTGAAAAACGACGGAAGCTTGCCCCTTAGGATTCTTCGCGGTACATTTATACTCTCCGTAAAAGCTTTCGTTGTACATTCTAAGCACAAGAACTGAAACATTGCCACTTGGAGACTTCAGCACCTGTATGAAAAATTAAATAATTTAGTAATATACACTTTTTTTATTCGGTAAGTCGGTGCTCAAGTAGTAAAACATTAGTGATGGCACAGGGATTTAAAACTCATGTATATTGGATTAAAAGCGAGCTTCAGCTTGCTAAAGTAGACTTGGCATTAAATATACCCATGGCGTTGATTTTATTACTTACATTTTTATATCAAAATGTACTTATTACCTTTTCCTCATCCTCGATAGGCTCATCGAATTCATTTTCATGTCTCCTGGACCAACTGAATGTTGGTACAGGATGAGCGATAGCACTGCATGACACATTTTTACTGAAAATTGTAATTAATATTAACATTAAACAGTTACTACAAATTAACTAAATACGTTCTGTCCGTGATACATATACTTCAGATACACCATTTATTTTAAATATAATTTTTCATATATAAATTTTATAATGGAATTTTTTTAATGGAAAGATGGCAGTTGAATAAGTCTGACGACGAATAAGTCGGAAGCTTACAACATCAAAGTTATAAATGCGGTACTGGCATGGTAGTAGTAATTACATGAACGAATGAAATACGCTTTATTGTACACCAGACAAAACAATTACATAAAGGTACAATTGGCGGCCTTATCGCTTAGAAGCGATTTCTTCCAGATCAGTGAGCGGTGTACGCTATTGTAAATATAGGTCATATAGACACTATATATCTTTAAGGAGTCTTTTAAATATTGCCAGTGATTGCGCCCGCCAGACTTGAAGCGGAATTTAGTTATTAATTTTAAAATACATAACACTTACGTTTCATTCAAAATGGCATATATTTCTTCTGTTCTGTAAGTAGACGAATATATTTCTTCAGTGTCGCTGTTAAAAAGTATTGGTTTATCTGGAAATTATTTATTTAATTATATAACATTTATTATAAGTAAACATTATAAGTATTATTTGTATTTTTATTGTAACGTATCTAGTAGCTTCCGTTAAAATAATATTGTATGTTTAATACGTCGATAATGTAGCGGGCTGCAATATTATTACTACATCAACGCAACAGATCTGTTTATATCATATATTGTAGCTGTTTGTTCCCCAATAAAATAAAATAAAAAATATAAGATATTATTTTGTGAACAAATGACAAATTTCTTTAATAATCCAATAAAGTTACTTACGTTGCACAGTGAGCTGTACCCGTTTATCTGTATAATACCGCAGAGCATTTTGTGTGACCTTGCAGACGTACTCGCCAGTATCTTGATGATTTAAATCCTTAATTTCCAACTGATAGTTATCCCCCTTCTTTCTAACGACGTACTTTTTCGTTTTATCTGTGTAAAAAGAAATTAATTCCAGTTTTGAATTTTAGTTCACTCTAACAATCATAAAGCTATGACGCCAAAGAAATTACCGGATATAACTTCAATATCCTTGTACCACTGTACAACCGGCTGTGGTCTCCCTTTCGCTTCACAGTTCAGTCTTGCTGATTTTCCCTCTTCCCCTTCAAAGCTCTCATATCGATTGGAAATGTTTACCTTTTCTGCAAAACATAGTCCATTGTCATATATTTTTATTAAATTATTAAAAGTTGCACCACAACATTATCGACATGTTACGACTGATGTTTTTTTGCTGACAGTTAAAATTGTTCACCTACATACTTAGGTAAGAATTGTAGATTCTTACTAAATATTATAAAGGCGAAAGTTTGTATGTATGGATGGATGTTTGTTACTCTTTCACGCAAATACTACTGAATGGATTTTAATGAAACCTTACAATAATATAGCTTATACATCAGAACAAAACATAGACTATAATTTATATACATATTTTATGTATAACTGTCTTTCTGTCTGAATGTTACGCCTTCAGCCGCGCAGACGTAGTCGCGGGCAGCAGCTAGTATTATATAACTTAACAGTGTTTTTTTTTTTCCAATTATTTATTAAATAAAAAAAGTAGTGCCGAAAATGGTATTCTTCATCATCATCATTTCAGCCTGTTTGAGTCCATTGTTGAACATAGACCTCCCCCACAGACTGCCACGATGCACAATACTAAGCTGACTGCATCTATCGACTTTCCGCACATCTGTACAGGCACCCCATCTAGTGGGGGTCGTCCTACACTACGATGGTCAGTACGAGCTCGTAGAACCGATAACCGATGGGGAAGTAAGCTTCTCAAATGGTATTCTTACCTCCAACTAAAATTTCTATAGTTTCATTGAGGTCTCCGGCTTTACAAGTCCAATTGCCACTATCTTCTATCTTTAAGCTATGTATAATCAATGGAAGCAGTGAGTCGTTTTTCTGCCTCTCTACATACACTCTGGTGTTTGTAGAAGATCTACCTTTGACAGGCATACCGGACGGCGAAAGCCATTCTAAGTTCTAAAACAAGAAAAAAGTGTATAGAGTCCGGCGAATTCAATTAATTTTCTTTTATGGTATCATAAAACTAATGTATGAAGTAAATTGGCTTATAAAGAGAATTCTCAGGAAAAAAACCTGATAAAATACGGAATACTCAAGAACATTTATGCACATATAATTGAATGAACAAACTTTTCGTATAAATATTTATCGAGTCAATTTACTAAATTACACCTTTTTAACAGGTTATTTATTATTATCAATTATCATTAAATGAAACTACGAATAAATAACAAGGATTTACACTGATTGGGATTTATTTCTAAAAGTGAAAGATCATGCCAATGAGTATAGGAGAGGCAATTTCTCTTTTTTTTAATATTTAAATATATAGTTGTAATAATGAATTAGATGGCCTAAGTTACCAGTTGCCATTGGTTTTTAAAAAAAAATAACGAATACACTATGTGACACACCTGATCAAGATTTTCCCCTTTGCAATAAATGGCTTTCTTTTCCCCGGCGTTGTATACTGATGACCTTGCGAGAACATCCAACCTAGGTATCCCGTCGTTTTCTTTCGCCAATGTCACTGTGAAAAACAATCAATTTTACATGTAACACGCAACCATCACTGTGCCACGTACTTTGTTCTTAAAGTTGCCATTTTCATGTTAACTTAGTTATGTAAAATAGCTTTTATCATAAAAGTTTGAAAACAATACAAATATAATATTATAACTATGGTACAAAGTATTTGATAAGCATCTTAGCGAACAGTATTAATGTTGGCTGTCATATTTGTTCAAAACTTTAAGAGCAGTCAAAGTTGGACGTGAGTATCAAGTTCATAGTTACGGCGAAACGCTTTTCCACGAGCATGTTTAAACTGACACAATAGATGAAAATAATCGATGTAATTTATTATATACATATATATACACCATAAATACTTTTTTGGACTTAATTTAAAGCTTCTTTTAGTATAAGTAAACGTAATTTAATGCTGTAATTTACAAAATACTATAATTTATTATTACGATTATAGTATTGTAACTGGATTATCTTGTGAAGTCCTAACCTAGGGTAACTTGAACACTTAAAGTAGCTTAAAGTACACAAACGGTAATACTTAAGAATCCTTGGGATTAAACATTGACATTAATCGCTGCAGTGAACAGTTTTCTGTTTGTCCTTCCGTAAAACTAATGTTACTTTCTATTTATTTTCCGATTGCAATAATAAATATCCCCGATAAAAATTAAATTTAAGTTATCGTAAAATTTAATTTATCGTAATGTTGATATACCTCAATATATAATTATAATTACCGAATTATTTGTGTTCATGTGTTGACGTGTTGTATTCATTTTTATTGTGAAAAAGTTGTATTATATATTTTCAAATTATTATTATTACAACTTCCAAATATAAATAAATTTCCCCCGCGTTTTCATGGAATAATATTGAAAAAAAAAATGGTCTTATCTATATATCAGATCAATACTTTTTTAACTATTGTTTAACACGCTGTTTTTTATTAAATAATGAAAACTTAATATGTTTATATAAATTTTGTACAGTCCGTACAAAATTTATATAAACATATTAAGTTAGTAATAATAAAATTCTTTACAATTGTATCTTATTGTAAACAATATTACCTAACTTTATTCGAGCATCTACGTATTTTGAATAAAAACTTGTATCTTTGTTTGTTCCTCACAAATGAAACCATTAGGTGATAATAAAGTCGTGGTGTCACCTACATCCTACTTTTGCCCGTCTCGCTGGGGTCGGTATAACATGTGAATGCTGTAAATGGTATTGGCTAGGTTTAAAACGACAATCCGCCTAATATCAAACTTCTTGGAAATAAACAACCAGATCCGGAATAATTATATGTAAGTCACACAAATACTTTTCCCGTGTGAGAATCGAACGCACGGCCCCCGGTGCCAAAGCCAACAGCTTAGCAGCTGTGCCGCCAAGTCAGGTATGTGTATATAATATAATAACCTAAAGTTAGTTATTATTATAAAAATTACTCAAAACACCTGATATGGATTGGAACGGACTGATGTTTAAATAACTGTTTGTGCCAATGCTTGATGGCACAATTCTTTTTTATTATCATTAAAAACAAAGGATGTTTTTATAAACAAGCCTAGGTAAATGTCCAGTAGGCTTAAACAGACTGTGCCTTTTAGTTAATGAAAGCTTTCATAACGTGGATATTGTTCCGCGCGTATATGTGTTCGGAGATTTGTATGTCAAGTAAGGTATTAATGGAAATTCGTGGTACCAAAAGTAATTTATTTGTTTGGAAAAAGCATAAAATTCCCATCTAGACATTTTACGCAAAAGGAAAACTACAATACTAGTAATTTGAAATAAATATATATACCAGATAATGCTTGGGCACTTGTATTGATTTTAATACCAAGTTGTATAAAAATTTAAATTTGTAGAAAAAAGGACGATAAGTTTCTTCACGGCTGCGGGAATACAACTAACGTTTTCAGGATTCGCGCCAAGAGGCACCAATAAGGTAAACGGCTCATTTCCACAACGACGAGAATCTCAACGTCTTTTATCTACATGGTTTTTCGCATTTCAAGCAATACTTGGCGCATGTATTGTTACAGCATAAAAACAATTTCAAATATCGTTTTACAACGACAATTGTTACATCTTAAGTGCATAAGCACTTAAATTTCAATACCAAACTGTTTATTGATTCTTAGAACCAACATTGATGCTAAACCTAAAGTGCTCATAACCGCATGTTATACCCAAGTATCTACGTAGCTGACGACGTAGGCAAAGGTAAATCAAATATTTTTGTTTCTTGTTATTCATAATCATATTTATAATAATAATAATATATATACCTATTTATAATAATAATATAATATATATTTTTATTATCAACAACATTTTACCAAAAAAAACACTGAAAATTAAAGTAATGAAACATGAACAACAAGCGTTAAAATGTACTTAAACATTTCAGTATATATTGGATATTTTTCAGATCAGTACAAAAAGCTAATGATGTAACAAACAAAGATAATCGCGTTATCTGGGTCGATTAGCAAGGTTTTTAGGGTTCCGTACTCAAAGGGTAAAACGGGACCCTACTACTAATCCGCTTTCTGTATGTCTGTCTGTCTGTCCGTCTGCCATCAGGCTGTATCTTGTGAACTGTTATAATTAAACAGTAGAAATTTCACAGATGATATATTTCTGTTACCGCTATAACAACAAATACTAAAAAACAGAATCAAAAAATATTTAGGTGGGGCTCCCATACAACAGAAATAATTTTTTTGCCATTTTTAAAGATCGGAACCCTTCGTGCGCGAGTCCGGCTTGAACTTGGCCGGTGTTTTCATTGTTTCCATTTGAATAAGCTGTGCGGCATGGATTCTTATATTGAATAATGTATGAAAACGATAAGAAGATTATAATTGTGGATCTCAATTTAAATTTCAGCGTGCTTATTTTATTTATTTCATAACTTAATATTTTTTTAAGTACGTATTATAAAATTATGGGTTAATGAACCTAAGAAAGTTGGTTATAAAACACGCATAACTTATGCTAACAATTTTATACGTTAAATTATTACATTAACTTAATTTTATACATCGTTGAACGAAGTGAATAAAGTGGAATTTATCATCAACGCGGTATACCTATTTTACCCATAACCAATAAACGTGAGTTTAGATACGTGCTGCGCTATGGTATTGGCAGGAATTGATAAGATGTCGGTTGGACGAGACGCCATATCTTGAGGTAATTTTATCATGTCCATTTGTTCGGTTATGTAACTTCGTATATACTTAATATCCATGCAAATACGGAAGCCGCGTACTAAGACCTGTCCCATGTTTGGCAAAGTATTCCCCCTCGCCGAAGCGGGAAACTGCGTTAAGCGGTCGGCGCTGGGAAGCCGCGGATGTATGTGCGAGCATTCCTGTGGCTTCCTAATATGCAAAACTGTCGGAACATCGCGGGCTCTTTAGTCGATGCAACTTCAACATTCTTATCCTTTCCTCCGAGTACGCTTAGGCATTTACACCACGCACAAGGAATATACAAAAGCGCCAGTCAAATTTTCATTTGAATATTCGGCACGCGAATTTAATAACGATTGTACTTAAGATATTGTAATAAATAATTCAACAAGTGATGCATTGATTTAAATGTATAGTTTTGTAAATTGATTTAAATGTATAGTTGTTTTAAATGTATTTAAATGTATAAAGCCTTTTTCTTGGAAGCTACTTTTTTATGTGACGAAGCGACAAACGAGTTGGCGGTTCACCCGATGTTAAGTGATAACCGCCGCCCATGGACATTTGCAACACCCATAGGGTTGCAGATGCGATGTCACCTTTTAATAAAGTGGGAACCCGGCTACCTCACTCACCGGACGAAACGCAGAAGTTGTTACACTTTACGCCGGTCTTCTGTGAAGTCATGGTACTAACCCGGGCGGACCTGCCCATTCTTACAACAACAGCAAACACTGTTGCGTAGTCCTACCACAGTTACTTATATATTATTTTGTAATAAAATAAAATATTACTGATATGTAATCCATTTATCTGCCGTACGTACTTGTAATGCAAAAACAATCACATACTACATCATTAAACATTAAACGCTAATTTCCTACTTAAAAATATCGTATAATTTAACATGATTCATTTTCAGAGGTCTTACAGGTTTATGTGGGCGGCACTGTTCGTAACTATTAATGTTATTCTAAGGTAACATAATATTGATCCACAATAACATTTGTTACTTTATACGTATTCCTCTCCATTATAAGTTGTAAGAAATCCAATTCCACGACACAATGATACCCAATTTCATTGTGAAAAAACCTCGTAATTCGAAGTCAGAGAAGTTGAATTGTGCTCTTATTTCAACTGGGATTTGAGTTCTAAATTACTTCTTGCCACCAATTCCAGTATCACTCTCTTGGTCTAACCAGATTTTTCGAAGAGGAGACAAACAGTTGTACAAGGTATTTTTATTAATTTGCCTTGGTATAATTTACTACTTTGTAATTTTCTACTGCTGTCATTTATTATTAATTGCTGTTTATAAATTTTTTTCTATTTATTTATGATTTTGTTGGTATTACAACCTTAATTTAGTTATATTTCTTATTTAAATACAAAAAGCAATCGTTTCTTTCAATACAACAACATGCTCATTTAAAATCCGACGTCTGATTTTGTTTTACGTACTCGTAGAAGAGAATAAAAAAAGGGAAACCGCTAAAAGCTTTAATTCGACGTCGGTTTTTTTAAACATTAACAACAATCCCTTGATTTCCAATGCAACCAGTTCAATGATTTTCACTCAGCTTCTCACTTTTTCTGCGACAGAGACTTTTGCGAAAATAGGAAGAATAGAGTACCACAACCTCACAGAAGACCGATGTTGAAAGTATTCGTACTTTTTCATTTACCCTGATAAGTGAGGTGCCAGGGCCTAGTAAAATTTTAGTACATCTGTCACATCCCTAATAACATTTGATGCTTGTAACGTAAATTTCCCTTGAGAAGC